AGGTCTTCATGTGAATGTGGTTTGTGGATCACAGCAGCAGCTTTTGCTTGCATCAACTTGGGCCTCCCACTGCCAGGAGCCCCAGCTGGGGATGAGACTTCACCAGGCACTGGTTTCAGACTCATGTCTAGTTTTCAGCACTGTCCCCCACACTGGGACTGCACCAGGAGCTGGAGAAATCCTTGGGTGAAGTGCTGGATCCCCGTCCTCCCTTGAGCTGCGTGGTGGGGCCAAAGACTCTGATAGGGAACTACAGGCCTGTCAGTCTCACCTCTGCGCCCAGCAAGATCATGGAGCAGATTCTCCTGAAGGCTCTGCTATGGAAAATGAGGAGGAGGCTTGTGGCAGCCAACATGGCTTCACCAAGGGTTGGTGGCCTCTTATGATGGGGTCACAGCATCGGTGGACAAGGGAAGATCAACTGGCATCACCTACCTGGACTTGTGCAAAGCATTCTGCACTGTCCTCCATGACATCCTGGTCTCTAAATTGGAAAGATATGGATTTGGTGCATGAAGGACTCAGTCTATGATACGATTCTATGACTGGTGTGGGTGGAGTGGCAAGGTGGCAGCTGAGCTGGCAGGGTGGCCTCCCCAGTGCAGTGGGGTGGCAGGAGTACAGCATCTGCCAGCACCCTCAGGCTTTCAAAAGCTTGGCTTTGTAGTGCTGGGATGAGAACCTTGGGTTGGGGTTTCCCACAGAGAATTAAATTTGTGTCCTAAATGGTCCCACATCCCCATCAGCACTGGTGTCACCAGTAGCCAGCACAGCCACACATCCTCTCCTGCATCCTGCTGGCACCACCAAGAGGCCCTGAGCTGCCCCTCCTCAGGGAAGCAGGGTACAGCATTAAAACCCCTGGAGACCCCCAGCTCTGTTTCCTTCTTGCTTGGGGGCTCTCCTGGATGGGGCAAGGCAGGGGACACAATTGCCACCAAGCAATGACTCTGCTGCCAGAGCTCAGCCAATCCACAGCCACACGCTCCGGAGGATTTCAGGTTGTTGGGGGGAGGTGAGGGGGTGGGAGAGAAGAAGGGGCTCCCCCTGTTCCCACGGCCCTGCAGAGCTGGGGGGCAGAGGCAGGCACTGCTGGAGTGGGAGCTGTGTGTTGCAGTGACCTCCATCCTCCTGGACGCCTCCCAGCCCCTTCCCACCACCCACATTTACCCACATGATTCGTGTTCTTTCATTCTTTGAACCCGGGCCATATAATGAGTTCAAACCCCTTCATTAAAACCTTGGCTTCCCCCCCCCAAAGAAAAAACCCCAAAACACAACAAAATGCCTGCACACCTCCCTGGGCAACCTGGCTGCCTTGCCCACCCCCGGGGAGGGAGCTCCCCGGGCCAGTTTCTCTCCCCACGGGAGGTGATGCTTGTGCTGTGCACGTGTTCAGCATCCACAGGGAACACTCTCTGTGCTCGGCCTAATTAGCTGGAAGGGAGGGGGAGAGCCAAATCCAAACCATGTGCTGACCTGCAGGCCCCTCTGCCTGAAAGCATCCGTGCTGAGCTCTCTCTGGATCCTTAATAGCTCCCTGGGTCCTTTTTTTTCACATTCCCCCTGCAAACGTGGTCCCCCCTGCAAACATGGGGGGCCTGGCGAAGGGGTGGGGTTGCTAGGGCTTTGTGCTGTTTCCTGATAGTTTTCCAGGGTTGCCTTTTGTGGGAGGCAGCAGACAAGGCTGGGGTTTGAGCAGTGGCCGAGAGGAGCCAGGGGGCAACCACTGCAGATTTGGGGCAACCCTAGTGCTGTGATGCTGGGGAGAAACAGGCTTCGGGTTGGCTGAAGGACCTCTGCCTCCTTCCTTCACTCCTGGAAGCTGCATCTGCCTCTTCCTCCGTTGCAGCTTGGGTGTGCACTTGTCCCCACAGCGTGCCCAGGGTCCACCAGCCTCCTCAAGCCACTTGCCAGGTCCCTGCAGAGCCCGGGAGGAAGCACCACATCCAAATCCTTCTGGGATCCCATGCTGAGGTGTTTCACTGGAGAGCATCATTGGTCCTGAGTGCCAAAAAAAAGCAGGGGAAGCCTGGGCTGAGCACCTGGGATGCCCCTGGGACCTGCAGGGTCCCTACCCCACCAACCCCACGCCCCAGAGAAGTCCCAGGTCCGTTTCGGAAGCCACTAAGAAGCCATCCACCCTGCACTCAGCTGCGGGCAGAGGAAAGGGGCATGTGCTCCCGGAGGGGGAGCGGGCAGCGGTGGGCGGGG